TTGGTCTGCAGCGTGCCTGTTGTAAGCCTTCAGAGCTACATAAATCAGACTCAAAGAGGTTGGGTGGCCATTGCCCTCCTTGGGATGCCTAGGTTAATGCCAGCCAAACCCAGTTAATCCAAACTAATAAAATGCAAAACGGTGAGCTGCATTTTGTTTTGCCACTAGGCTCACTTTCTCATGTGGTAACATGAAGATGCCTGTCACCAGCCTGGCAGGCATATTGTGGATATATCTAACAGTGTTTAGCCTGGCACCGGGTTGGTGCTCCATCAGCTACACTCTCCAAGAACTTGACAGTCATGCACTGTCTGACTTCAGTCTAAGGACAGGCCACACACACAATGGTGGTCCCCTAAGATTAAAACGGAGCTGAGAAAGTCCTATTGCCGACATAGCCCTTGTAATGTAGCACACGCATTACTCAAATACTGTTATAATTGCCTACAGGGTTTGATATAGTAACGTGCCACAGGCTTGTAGCCTACGAGCTATCGAGGAAAAATTTGTCATCCCAAAATATGTCTATTTGGCACAAGGATTATAGGCTGGTTAATTTTTAAAAAGCATAGCCAGCGGCTCTGAAAACCCAGAAGGTACCCTTGTAAAAGGCATTTACATCCCTAAGGGCGGTCTCCATCCATCAGGATGTCTCCCTCCTTGCACCAGGAAGGACCATATCGCCAGGAACTTTCATCAGTGCAGAACTTCAATCTGCACAACCTTACCCTTGGTTACTATGCCTGTCCCATAAGTGACTCCCCCACCCCTAATATCTTGTCTTCTGAAGATGATGTTTAAGATGCTAGTTCAGCCATTTTGGTGAGTTAGTTTCCCCGAGTCTCTTCCATGTATTCGAGAGCTACACGTCATTAAGAATTTTTTCTCTTGTTAATCCGTCTTTTATTACACGGATCTGTCAGCTAAAAACCTACAAGAGAACTCCCCACAGTTGGCCTTCTGTGTCTGCACGTTCTACACTGGCCAGTGCAGAATTCTGCACTGGATAAAGAAGGCCAATTAAAAGACTTGAACATCCCTGGACTTTGGTATCTGTAGGGGGTCCTGGAACCAAGCCCCTGCATATTCCAACTATGTTATTCTGGTGCCATCCTACAGAACTTTCTTCGACAATGAAAACGAAATGTTCTATCACGTGTGGCCCAGTGGTAGCAACTGACAGCCCACTATATGTTGGCTTTTACGACATGGCAGGCACAACAGAACAAGTCCTCAGAGCCATGTTGCAAGTCCCTGAAGCACAGTTACTGAGCATAACTGGGATCTGATTTAAGGCCATGGCAGGCCTTTCCCCAAAAGGTAGTGCTGACATCCTGAAGAATGAAGTTGGTCACGGGGAATCCACACCCCAACCCTGTGGGGCTTACAACCAGTGGCCCAGAACCACCTTATCTCAGCTGTGCTCACAGTGGACTCTACTGGAAGTGCAGGGAGACAGACCAGTCTGCTCCTACCTGCCTTTCCACCCATCTACACTAACCTCAGAGTGGTGGCTTCTGGAAAGGCTTAAAATCCAGACTGGCAGTGTGCTGGGCATACTTCCTGAACTCCTTTCAAAGAATCACCACGAAACAGCACATCTGTGAAACTTTAAATCCCATGACCACCGTTTATTATAAAGGTGAACCCTGATGGGCTTATCGGTAGGATTTCTGGTAGCGAGCACGCGCACCAGGACCTCCAAACTTTTTGGATTCGCAGCGACGGGGATCAGCTACCAGCAGGGTCCGGTCGTACTGGATGAGGATGTCTTTGATCTCCTTCTTGGAAGCCTCATCCACATCTGCGGATGAGAAATGAGGCAGAGATGTAGATAACCACGGAAGTACCCTCCTACACACTCTGGAGCACTTTGCCCCCACCCACCCAATGGGAAAGCCACATTTTCTTACATTTCTGGTAATAGGCCACTAGGGCTTTGGAGATGGACTGGCGGATTGCTGTGAAAAACACAAAAAGGTACATCAGCTTCGTGAAGGTCATGTGGCATGACCTTCACAGCCACCTCCTACCCATGTTCCCAATTCCTAGGACTCACCATAAATCTGGGCCACGTGACCACCACCCTTCACACGGACTCGGATATCCACACCGGCAAATCGCTCCTTGCCCAAAAGGAGAACAGGTTCCAGTAGCTAGAGGAACAGGGAACACGACAGGATTTTAGATCACAACCTGGGCAGCTGAGCCACCACATCGAGCATCCTTATGTCTAAGTAGCTTCTACCACCACTGGCCTCTTCCACTAGTGGAAGAGGGTTGGGCTGTCACTGCAAGGCCTTCTCTGGGCTCCCCCATTCCACTACTCTGGAGCAGTGTCTGATATTGGGTCCAGTCCGTCTCTCCCACTGGACTGGGAGCCTGGGACCATCTAGGTCATTGCTGTGTCCCCAGCACTCAACACAAGCTCCATATACAAAACCTTCGAACTGACAGTCAATAAGAGTAAGCCATAATATTCACTGTATGTTATACCAAGAATCTCACGTCCTATCTTCCCTTCAAAGTAAACATATCTCCATTTCACAGGTGACTCAAAACAGAGAAGTTACATGCCTCAAGTAACACAGACTACAAGAGGTAGAAATCAGACTCTGATCTCTTCTCATTCTGAGCCAAAGAAACTTAAGCCCAAACAGGGATGAGGAACCCTTTTCACAGCCATGTACAATAAACCCAAATTCTGCTCCTGTTCTTTTAATAATAAATATCTACAATTTCCAGATCCTACTTTAGCCACGTTTTAAGGAACAAAACATTGATTCCTCTCCTGGAAACCGACAGTATGTTGTAAACATGACACACATCCCCCATTAACTGACTGCAAGAATCACATCGTAAAAACTCTGGTAATGCAAAAACATCCGGTCCGCAATCGAGCGGGCTGCCAAATACCCGTCTTCAAAGTATCCTCTTAATCTTCAACATCCACGTTTTCACTTTCTAAACTCAAGCTTTTTGCCACATCTTCTTAACTCCCAAAACCCACCTTCATCGCCAACACCCCACTTTTCTGGCTCCAACTCAGCTTCTCAACATCCCACTGTTGACACCAGATTCCTCAACTTCCAAGATCAACGAACTCCAGGAACCCGCTTATTTCAACATCTCTGTCCCAGAGTCCTCCACTCAAACCAAACGCCCGTCCTTAGTCCCAGTACCTTATACTGCAGCGTGCGCGGCTCGATCATCTCCAGAGGCCGCCCGTTCACCTTGATGAGGCCGTTGCCCCGTTTGCAATGCGCCACAGCTGTGGCCGTCTTCTGCGGGAAGCCAGAGGAAAAAGAGCGGAGCCACGTGAGCTCAGGGCCCCGGCTCCCACGTAGAACCCAGACCTCTTGTCCAACGGCTTCTCCCAGACCCCGGCCTCCCTCGGCCCCTTCCATTGGGCGCCAGACTCACCTTGCGTCCGAAGACCTGCACAGACTGCAAAGGACCCTTGGATGGCATTGCTGCGGCCGTAGACAAGAGAACCTCACCGCGCGCCGCCGACTCCGGAAAAGGAAAGCGCTACGCCACCCGGCCGCTTTTCAGGGTCTGCGCAGGCGCCCTGAGCGCTGCAACGCGACGGGAGGGTGCTTTACGGCTCGTGTTGTAGCCAGGGGGCGGGACTTCGGATTGGCGGCAGGAAGTTGAGGACCGGAGGGGCGGGACCCGGGTGTGGAAGGGGCGGGGTCTTCAGACCCAGAAGCGTGAGGACTTGCTGTTCTTCACATCCATGGTCTTCACTGGTCACTGCTGGTTCTTATTTGCATTCCGGCTCCTTAATAATCTCCCTCCGACCCCTCCCTTCCACCCTGTTAAAAATCAAATCTCACGCACCGCTAAAGGGGTTCTTAACCTTTCACCACCAACAGTCTTTCTCCTTGATTCTCTTCTCCCCAAAGCCTCCTCCGTCAGCATCTGCCCTCTGGAACCGACAGCAAGAAGTCACTCAGGATTCCCAGATTCAAGATTCAGAGTCCTCCTACCCTCTGCAACCTACCTCCTTCCAGAGTCCTTTCCCAGAATCCTTCTCCTCTTAGAGCCCCTTCCCCCAGAATCTACTTTTCACTTTCACCAGAATTTCCTTCCTTTCAGTCTCCTCTTCCCAGAATCCTTCTCTTCTCAGAAGTCCACCCCCAAACCTCTCTCTTGGGATCCCTCACCCCATATTCCCTCTTTCTTGGAATCTCCCTCCACTCAAGGGCCCTGGTTCTCCCCAATCGTTCTTCCCAGAATCTTCCTTTCCTCAGATCCACTTCCCCTGGCAACCGCCCCCTTCCGAATCTCTCCTCCCAGTCCACCGATCTCAGAACCACCCCCTAGAATCTCCCTTTCCAAAAATCCTCCTCCCTTTTGGAGCTCTCTCCCTCAAAATCTGCCATTCCCAGGAGTTTCTTTCCCTCAGAGTCTCCTTTCCCCAGCAACTGCCTCCCTCGGAATCCTCCACTCCTTAGAGATTCTGCCTCTAGAATCCCCCTCTTCAGGGTCCCTACCCCAGAATCCCTTTTTTACAGCGTCCCTCAAATCACTTCCTCTCCATTTCCGTCACAGAATTCTCCATTTCCAGTGCCCCACTTCCCATCTGCACAACCTCAGGAGTGGGTTGCCCTCCGCCCTACCCTCACCCTCCACCCTACTCAGGATACTCCCTTCCCAGCCAAGGGGCTCCTCTCTCAGGGCTACAGGGCGTCTACAGTTGCCTCACTTTCTCTGGCAGCACCCGGTCCGGGATCCAAGGTTCAGAGGGGTGTGGTGGCTTACCACGTATCTGGAGAGAGAGGTTGTTGGGCGAATCTGGGGCCAGAGGGAGGATCCTCCAGCCTAGAGTCCAGCTCCAAAAGGGTAAGAAGGGGGAGATGGGAAGGGGGAGGGAGGAAAGGAGCACCCAGAGCCTCATCTGGAGAGACACACAGGCAGATACACAGCACAAGAGAGAGGACATATGGAGGAGAAAGACAAAGAAGGGGCCAATGGAGAAGAGGAGGAGAAAGAAGAGAGGCACTGGGCCAGTCAGAGATGGACCTAGAAAACACAAGTGACAGATTTGGAGGCAGAGAGGTCGACCTTTAGAGATAGACGGGTACAGCCAGTCATGGAAATTCCAAGGTACTTGAGACAGAAGTAGAAAGGCGAGCAAAGTCCACCGATTATGCACCTGCAGACCAGAATAAGGCCTACCATAGTGTTTTCCAGTGAGAAGACAGGCCAGAGGATGCACACACTCTCATACCATACTCCGTACTGCCTTACGGCCTGTTTAGGGGAGTGGGGAGGCTTCCAAACTTTCCAGTGTCTCCAGGCTGATCTTTAAACCTTTGCTAAGTCTCCTATCATCCTTGGGGCAGTTATGTCAGGGAGTCCTCTGACCTAGGCCCTCCCTACTCTAGGGTCACCAGCTTTTCTGCCTCTTGGAGAACATTCCCTGTGTATCTGGATTGAGTGAAGCTGGACAGGAAGTGGACAGGAGCAGTTCCCTTCACCTACTCATCTTCCAACTTGCTCCCTCTCTCTGTACCTCTAGCTTCCAGGACTAGAGAAAGCCTGGGGGTGGGCAAGGTGCCTATGTGGACTCTCTGGACCCCTCTCCTGCTGGTAAGGCCCTCGGGAGGCCTAGGACCACCCTTCTGCCCTCTGGAGCCTTTCTACCTCCTGGTGCCCTCCTGAAGATGCTGGTGAGGAGAAGGGAGGGGAGAGCCAGCAGAGGGGACAGGAAGGGGGTGGGGCGAAGGACATGTTTGAGGAAGGTCAAGCTCTCCCCCTCTGATATATGATTCTCTGCCCTTCCCCAAAATTGTATGGAAACAAAAATGATGGCACCCTCTACACCCCAGATGATCTCTTGGTGAGGATTTCAAGTACACTCCACTAAGCTCGGAAGACATGACTGTTGGGGGCAGGAGGCCGTGGGGCTGCTGTTCTGGATGTTAGTCCCTGCCCCAGCCGCCAGCCTTGACAAGTACGTTTTGTTCACTGCTGTCTCTGACGCCTAGAACAGTGATTGGCACATAATAACAAAGGATGATGATTATGATTATAGCTACACTTAAATAGTGCTTACCCTGTGCCAGGTACTGGTTTAAATGCTTTAAGAATAAATATTACCTTATTTATTCTTCACACTGGCCCTGTGAAGTAGACAGGGCCACCGTGTATGAATGTGAAGGTTGTACACTGTACAAGGATCCCAAATTTATAAGTACGGTATTCACATCTTGAACATATTTGTCCATTTCCAGCAGATGGCAGTAAAGTATCTTATTCTAACAAAACAGCACTTAGAATCTCCGTTTTAAGGAAGGAGCATCTTTTTCTAACTTAACGCATACTGTAAGGGCTAGTGTCAGCCCACGAGATAGGCATTATTCAGAGCTCCGTTTTACAGATGAGAAAACTGACGCCCAAAGAGATGAAGGGGCTTGTCCCAGGCTACAAGTCAGAAACATTGGTGGTGGGGATTTGGGATCAGGCCCTTACCCTTACCCAGGTCACTCCGTCCCCACAGGTGTGTGCTGCTGAGACTCTAGGCTGCTTCTGGCTGGAGCTGACTGTGATTGGGTTCGAGGAGGGCCCATCTGTGGGGACTGCTGTGTTCCGGCTACAGCGCTTGCTGGATGCTCTGGGGTCCCAGCTGTGGGTCACAGCCCAGGGCCCTTGTTTACCCTGTGAAGAATATCCCCAGAGACCTGTCTCTCTCTTCCTGGCTAAACTATTAGAGTTATTACAGGGGGCTTGTGCTTGGCACCGGCCCTCAGCATGAGCCTTGGAGGATGCTGACTTCCTGGTACTCCTGGAGAAGCTGGCAGAGAGAGGGAGAGGAGACTTGGTCTCTAGCCCCAGTTCCTAAACCCTAAGCCTGTTCTTCTAGGCCAGAGGACACCCCCGGAGCCCCAGGGGCCAAGGGGAAGAGGCGAAGAGAAGGAAAATCAGGTGAGATATGAAGCCTGAAGTCTCTGACCTACTGGGCAAGAGGCTGAATAAATTACCCCCACCTGCCCCTGTTCTTCCTCTCTTTCAGATACTCCCTCCTCTCCTCTTCTAGGAAGGAACAGAGCACTGCACAGATATCTTTTAACCTCATCCTCACCCATGGAGGACAAAGAGAGTCTTGTGGTTCACATCCCTGGCTGCAAATAATTACCGCCTAGAAAACTTTCAAGGAATACTGATGGCTAGGCCTCAACCCAGAGAATTGGACAATTGCTCTCTGGTGGATCCTGAACATCTATATTTTTTAAATCAACTGTATTGAGGTATAATTTACATGAAGTAAAAGGCACCCATTTCACTGCATTCTGACAAACGTTTACAACATGCTGCCACATTTCCATTACCCCAAAGCATCCCCCCACACCCCTTTGCAATATCCACCTCCAGTCACAGACACACACTAATCTGCTTTCTGGCTGTTTAGATTAGTTTTGCATCCTCTAGAGTTTCATATGAATCGAATCATTTGTACATACCCTAGTATCTGGCTTCTTTCACTTAGCATACATTTTTGAAATTCATTTATATGTGCATCAGTGGCTTGTTACTATTCCATTGCATGGATATACTGCAACTTGTTTGTCCGTTCTCATGACGAACATTGGTTGTTTCCAGTTTGGGGCTATTATGCATCTCTCTCTTCTTTAGTCTGATGTGCTACCAAGGCTGAGAGTTGAGAACCACTGATAAACCGGGGAAGAACTGTTCCCTCTCTTCCTATTTTAAAGAATTGCTATGTTAAGGAGGCAAGCTTATAGAAGGAGAAACATTTCTATTTGGCCCAGAAACCTATCTGGGTTCCTTTCCCAACCTGTCTTAGGTTCAATTTGGGGGATTGTGGGATCAGGGAGTGTGAGCTTATGCAGAGACACGGTTGTGTATATTCACTCTCATAGCTGCATTGTAAGCCTGCTGCCAGCCCAACTGCACCACATTTCCCTGTAGCTAACTAGATGTATGTTAAATTTCTGTAAATTGGATCCAGGTGTCTCAATGTCTATGTGAAGAACTTTAGCAATGTGTTCTAAAAGCTTCTGATTTTTTCCCTTCCATCGGGTTAATTTTTTTCATATCTATCCCTTGTGCCTGGTTCTCTTTGCCACCTCTATGACAAATAATTATTGTACTAATACATAAATGCACATTTAAATCAACTTAGGGACACTGCAAAGGAAAACAAGGGTTGGAGGTGAGGGGGGTCACCCAAACTCGAGGAGGCATCTTGTGACTGCCACTTTCCAGTTAATTTTTTCTGACTTCAGTTTCCCCATCTGCAAAATGGGGGCACCTACCATCTAGAAATGTTTTAGGGCGGGAATCCCCAACCCCGTTGCTGCAGAGTGGTATCGGTCTGTGGCCTGTTAGGAATCAGGCTTCACAGAAGGAGGTGAGCAGCGGGGCGATGGAGCAAAGCTTCATCTGTATTTGCAGCTGCTCCCCAGCGCTAGCATCATAGCCTCAGCTCCACCTCAGATCATCAGGCATTAGATTCTCATAGGAGCAAAAAGGTTGGGGACCCTTGTTTAGAGGGTCCATGAGATAAAGTATGATTTATTTGCTAATTTGCTATTATTTGCTAATTCTCAGTCCCCTCAAGGCATGGCACACTGCGTAAGTTGTCTGGACTAAATTTCAAGTTCTTACTCCTGGCTGGAAAAGGCCAGGTCCAAGGGGAAATAACTTTCCCACCCTTTGACCCTTCCAAGATGTCGGCTCCAAGCCCTACATTAAGACAGCTCTGCCACCTCTGCCACTCTCAAGATGGCAGCCTGGAAGTGCGTAGCCGAGGACGGCCCCGGAAATCTCGCGTTAGAGGAGGCCAACGGGTAGGTTCTCGCGAGAGGATACGTCAGTCCCAGCCAGGCGTCGTGTGAACAGCAGCTGGTTCCCAAAGCGGAGGTGGGACTGGGACGGTGAGGGGTGGGTTGGACACTGACAGAGCAGGCTCAGGGGGGGGGTCCTCGGGAGCTAGGGAGGTGCAGGGACCAGATTCAGGGACCCTGGAGGTCTAGCAGGTGGTGTAAGGGAGTCCTCTTTCGGGTTCACGGTTGCTAGAACGAGGCTGCCGGAAGTGCGCCAAGGGGCTTTTCTTCTCCTGGGGAACCGGCCGGGAAACTGAGGCTTGGGGTGGAGTTCGGGATTGGGGGATGCGCTGAGGCCGCCGTCTTTTCCTGCAAGAGCAGAAGATGTCGGACAGCGAGGACAGCAACTTCTCTGAGGAGGAGGACAGCGAGCGCAGCAGTGACGGCGAGGAGGCCGAGGTCTGTGGCTGGAACACTAGGGTGGCATTGCGCGTGGGGGTGGGGGGAGGGGGGCCAGGCAGGACCAAGGCAGAAGGGCCCCTGGGGAGCTCAGAGGGGATTAGAATGAGCTCTGGCCTTTGGGAGCTTCCAGGTTGTCTGGAGAGAAGCAGGCAAGCCCAAATCAAGCAGAGGGACGAGTGCTGGAGGCCAGGGATGCTGCAGGTACGGTGAAATGACAAGTGATGTCCTCGCATGTAGTAAGCACTCGCTATTCTTACTTTCAGATATATGCAGTCATTTCACTAAAATATTGTTAGGGCCTACTATGTGCTAGGCACAATTCTTTGTCCTTGGGCTATACCAGTAAACAAAACAGATTTTAAAAATCTTTGCCCTTGTGAACGTAAAGAAACGTAACTGATAAGTCAATCATTTAGTAAGTTAAAAGGTACCCTGGAGAAAAATAGAGGAGAGAATGGGAATAGGGAGTCCTTGTTGCACTGTGAATAGGGTGATCAGGGTGAGTCTGAGTGGGTGACATCTGAAAAAAGACTTGTGGGAGGGGAGAGTGTGAGTCATATCATAGGGAAGAAGAGTGTCGCAGTTAGGGAGACCAGCAAGTACAAAATCGGCAGCATGTCTGCGGTGGTCAAAAAGTGACAAGGAGTCCAGTTTGGCTGGATCAGAGTGCAGCAAAGAAGTAACAGGAGCCAAAGTATATAGGATCTTGAAGGCTGTGATGAGGAATTTTTTCTTAACTGAGTGAGTCGGAGCCATGAGATTTTGAGCAAAGGAGGGATGTGATCTAATGTTTTGAGAAGATCACTCTGGCTTTGCACTGTTTCAGGAACTAAATATCAAACATTCCCGGAACGTATCTGATTTTAAATATTATTCACTATTACCCTCTTTTATTTATTTCTGACTTTACTCATTTGTTGAGCAAATGTTTGAGCATCTACACTGTGTTCCAGATATATCCTAGGTGTTGGAGGGAGAGTAGAACAAGGCAAGTCTTTGCTTTCATGGAATTTAGTAGGCAACAGTTAGAAACTAATCAACGAAGAGATGACACAGTGGTTATAGGGGTCTCATTTGACCTACAGAAATGAAAATATATTTTCATAAGTTAGTTACCTACACTTGTAAGGGTGATTTCATGTAAAAAGCAAGATTTCCTGCTTTTCTGGAAAACGGAAGGAGCCAGCAACCAGAGACCCAGGATTGTTCTATATACTCGGTCTTCGCCAAAAAAGTGGCATCCCTCTTTAGAATTGGGAATTTTCTTCAGTTCCCAGGATATGTCAGTTGCTATTTATCATCATGCCTGTTTTGTGGCAGGTTTAAGAAAAGGAAAGATTTCATATACCTGTGTTCTGGAAAACATCAGTTAGACAAGGAGCGGTGTGGGTTTCCCTTGAACTGCCCCGCTTATTTACGTACCCTACTTATCTGTGTTGCCTGCTTGCCCTCTGTAGGCATTTGATTGTCAATCCTTGTGCCCTCTGGGGAATCATCAGCTTCCAGAGAAGTGTTGGAGAAATTAGGATATTGCGGTGGAGGTGGGGCAAGTGCGAGGATGCCAGGAAAAGCCTTTTCTCCGAGCTGTAGTGCTGGGTCCTTGGTCTCTGACTCATGGCTTCAGGACACTGCTTGTGGTTAAAGCTTAGTGATAATGAGACCAGGATCCCTGCTTCCTTTTCCTGTCTGGGGTAGTCTGGTTTGCATGGTGCAGCTCTCACATCTCTAACACCTCATCTGCTGTCGCCAGGTGAGGCAGGAGTGTAGTGTGAAGCCTGTCTTCACTGCCAGAGATAAGACTGGATGGGCTTTTCAAACAGCCAAATGTTGGCATTGCCCTTGAAGGTCCTATAGATAGACAGGGATGGCAAAAAAATGAGCCACATTGGTAAATAACGAATACATTGGGGGTTCAGCTGGTTCACTATTCTCAGCCCTAGTAATCTGCTCATTCATTCATTTGACAAGTGTTCCTTGAGTTCCTGTTATGTTGGGATCACTGTCTCCCTCTTGGAGCCTTCTCTTATGGGGTGGACCGTTTCATAAACAGAGGGACAGGGTGAGGGGGGTTGCTGAGGACAGGTGCCGTAAGAGCACGTTCAAGTCCTAAGGTAACACAAAGATAGTAAGAGGAGCTCTCTCAGAGAGTGGGGAGCCAGATTTGGAAAGAAGGCTTTGCTGGGACTGAGCCTGGAGTGTGATGACAAGGTTTCTAGAAATCAGGCTGTGCTCCTGTTGAAGTTTGAGTCGTTAAAATGTGGGACTTTGTGGGCTGGCCAGGATTATGTATTAAGCAAATATTTTTTAAATCATCTGTTCTCAGCCCTGGGCTGGGTGATGTTGAGGACTCAGCAGTGCCTGAGATAATATCCTGGGCCCCGACTTCAGGGGGCTCACAGTTGTCAGGGCTGTGATGGAGGAATCCCAGAGGGTTGTGAGCCCAGAGGATGTGCCTGACTTTCCCTGGCGGAGAGAGCACAGGCATGACTGTTGGAGGGGAGGGTATTTTGATTGAAGTATGAGCAGCACACAGAGCAGGATGGCTTTTTATACAGAGGACCAGCATGGACGATGGACAGTGCTAAGAGAGTGTGGTTCAGTGTAGCAGGACTAGCATTTGGAAGAGGGATCCCAAAGAGACAGGATGAGAGAGGGAGGCAGTGGGCAGAGTGTGCGCTTCCACTCTGGGCTGCTAAAGAGCTTGTTCTTTACCCAAGGGCCGAAGGAAGCCGTAGCCATGTTTTAAGCGGAGAACCAAATGATCAGATTCATGTTGTAGATCATCCTTTCCTAAGATTATAGGATACATTCTAGGGCGGGGAGGGTGTGAAGAGAGGTGCTTTTACGTAGAATAAGGATAACACTTTCAGCCACATTGATTCATTTAGTGAGGAAACTTATTTCCTTTTCAGTTCACTTCATGTCCTGTCTTTTGATTGGGTGAGGGACAGTTTCACTTTGGTGCTACATGTCTGGAACACCTTTCCAAAATTTGCTAGTCTCTGTTTATCAAGGAGAACAGGCCTTAGGCAACATTAT